GGGTGTGATAGCTGGTCACACTTGTCCCCGTTATTAAATCATCATGGAGGCATCCCCTTGCCTCTTCCATCATTAAAGCATTAGCATAGCCGCCATTTCTCAATAACCGGAAGTTCCCATTATTGAGAAATGGTGGCTCTGCTAACGCTTTCATGATGGGAGAGGCAAAGGGACGCCTCTACGACGATTTAATAATGGGAACAAGCGTGACCAGCGATCACACCCATTGCTTTATGGATGATTAGTGACATTTCCATGATAGTAAGCCTCTATGTGATAATCCTCTGTATACAAACTATGTGCTGTATCATAGGGACGTTTCAACTAAAGTGAAACTCGGTCTGTCTGTGTGTGTCTGTTGAAGGCCATTGTGTCTTTACTCTAGTGATAGAAAATTTCTAGAATGATAACTCAGTCATTTGTTTAGGTAATTTGATATGGGTAATTTGATCAGTTATTTGACAGCATTATATAATTGGTTTGTAAGTCTTGCGGATAGTTATAGTATTTTTGATAATGTAATATAGGCATCAGATAAGAACTACATGAAATAGCACTAGATCCTCCCACTGAGAAACATTAAATTAATGCTGGTGACATGGCTTGGCTGGTTTCTTTTTTACATGTTGAAATTTATCACTCCACTGGGTGATTAATTGCAACCTTTTATAGGAAATTCTGATTCATGGCATGTTCAAAAGGAAATTGTAATGCAGGATTACAATAAAGCAACTTATAAAGCTCCCCAGTCTTGCTAGGAAGGGGGGAAACCCTCCTGCATATATTTGATATTTGATGAGCTATAGAGATTTATAGCTGTCAACAGCTAAAACCTAAAGGAGTGCATGTTTTCATATGTTTTCATTCCAACCCATTCATCTCTTTGAGATCACTCACAATATTACAGGAAATGAATCAGATACCCAATTCCAATGTCCCACCCTCCTTCCCCACTGTTCAATGCAATTTTTTTCACTAACCAGTAGATGAGTTTCTCATTCCTTTCTAGACTTTGGGGTTGTTTACCTTTTGCAGTAGGGAATTTTCTCATAAGCAAAGGTATCTATTTTGATTGGATTCTACTTGTTGATGAATTGGGCTTTGAAGGAATACAACTATTATAATCTTTCATGTCAAAGTTGGAATAAGAAATAATAATTTTTTTAAAGAACCCTCATAAATCTCTTTTCAAATCTTTGCACTTGAGCCTCAGGTTCATTTCTTAGGAATATGTTTAGAAAGTTTGAAAATTTGACTGAATAATATGCAGTAAGAGTAGTAACATTATTACTAATAGTTGTAGCAGTAGCAGCCTTTCATATCTATTGATCATCATCAATCCCTCTATTTTTAGTATTCATAGGTGACTGTGGGTCCTGGTATAACCAAAACAGCACCATCCATACACAAGAGAGGAGAGGTATTAGAAAAATTAGGAGAACACTGTGTTTTGAAGAAGTACATAAAACCTTTATGGGGGCGGAATGAGAGGAAAGGACCCCAAGACAACTAATGAATATCTGTACTTAGATTGACTGTTTCATTTGAGAGGGGATGAAATGGTGTATCACTCACTGAAGAGGGTGTGGTTGACATACTAGAACACTGAACAGCAGGGTTCAGGAATACTCCACATTGCAACTTTTTGTTGCATCTCCTACATGTAGATTTCATTATTGTTTTCATCCCCCCCCCTCCCAAATATTGAAGATTCAGTCACCATCTGTGAGAAACTATAAATGAAACCTATATTTATCTCCATTGTTGCCTGAGGAGCACTGTGTTTTTATCTTTGGTGGCAACTGGAGTAGTCCACTTTAATAGCTGGAAGACCATTAATGGTTTAATGGATGACTGTCTACTTTAATGGTTAGCCTTTGCATATTTACTTTCTGATGCAATGAATCAAAACTTACCCCGTGTAAAAATACACAACAGGCATGTTGGACTACAATCCTTTTCTGCCAATGCTGTTGGCCGTGCCCATTGCACAAATCTATGCTAGAGCAGTTGTAGGCACATGCCTACAAGTGCCTCTTTGGAGACAATATTCTCATTGCCACTCTTGGTAGATTTCCAGGGACAGATTTGTTACTTTTTACCTCTTCACATGTAATCTGTATGCAGTTACAGCTATCTATTTAGTTGTAGGGTATTGTTTATATAAACTACTGTAAAGAATATTTTATTTCACATACATCTGATGATACTGTATTTTAATCTATATTTTTCTTGTATCCCATTTCAGAATTATAGATCAGCGGTTTGAGCGAGTTTCATATTTTGTCTTTGGAGATTTCAACTTTCGACTGGATGCAAAATCAGTGGTAGAGGTAGGACTGTCTCCATTCTTTATAACTAGATCCCATTTAAGATTCCCCCATTTTTAAAGCAATGCTTAAGGTACACTGAAAAGTGTTAACTTTTCAGAAAAATAATTGTTTATGGACATCAATAAAGTCCTCTGTCTTTGCTACAGTCCACTTAGCACTCAGCTCCTGAAGCTAAAGCAGATTAGTAAATACAATGCTAAGAGTCAAACTCAAGGCTGACAGAATGCTAGTGGCCAAATGCAAAGCTTAATTCATGCTGCAGTGGCTGAGAAGGAATTTTGTTTCTGTTGCCATAGAACTGTCATGAATACATGAATTGTTCAGTTTGACAAGATAAGATTTCTGGATAGTAAATAACTCTGTGAACATGACTTGTTTATGCATGCAGGTAAAAATGTTTGCTCCAGCTTTGGTAGGAAAATTTGCCAATCTAGTAATCATTTTATTTTTACTGGGCCTGAATGCACAGGCAGAATACAATGGGCCATCCCCATCATATCCTGCCTGCGTATCCGGCCTGTTCCCACCTCCAACACTTACCTGGTCCCGTGCAGTGATGGGCAGGTGTTCAGATGCCAACCCACTGATGTGCTGCAGAGCCACCATCACTGTTCTAACTGCAGGTCCTCACTGTGCCCCAGAAAGGGGGCACCTGGCATCATTCTACATGACCAGACACCCCCTTCTGACATAACAGGCCACAGCTGGGACCTGTGAGTAGAATGGCAGTGGCAGCAGGTAAGGTGGTGTTCATTTGTCCAGTCTACTGTCTATTGTAGCAGAGTTTCCCAGAAACTGTGCCACAAACAGCTGATCTTTTTAGATTGAGATAAGGGCTGACTGGGCCAGATCCACCAGAATGGCATCCGATCTGCCCATCCCCAGCCTGGGGGTGTTGGCCTGCATCATCTAAACCGGATGTCTCCAGGCTAAGGAACACAGGCTTTTCAGCCACCTCAGAAGTAAAGCGTGGTTTCTGTCTTGTTTGATCTATATGTATCAGGTATGTGCAGGATTGGCCATGAATGTTGCATTTATGTTACTGTCATAAAGCCAGGGAAGTCAGTAACATTACAGCCTGACATAGACCTGCACATGACTTCAGAAATACCAGAACAGAACTGAGTATTGATATTGCCATTTAAGCCAATTAGTGAGTTTGTAACTGTAATGACCTTTGAACAAGAAGCTTCTGCACTTAAAGTCACTTGTTTTAGCTCCTGTGATAAACCAGATTGTTACTGGAAATATGTCAGTCTCTCATCTTGAGTGATTTCTTCAGTGGTGTAGAGATGTACATTTGTGCAGAAAAGCTTTAAATGCAAAAAAATGAAAAATACCTTATTTTCCTG